GAAAGAAAGAAAGAAAGAAAGAAAGAAAGAAAGAAAGAAAGAAAGAATGAATTAGAATTCTTTATTGGCCAGGTGTGATTGGACACACAAGGAATTTGTCTTGGTGCAAATGCTCTCAGTGTACATAAAAGAAAAGATACTTCAAGAATCATAAGGTACAACATTTAATAATAGTCATAGGGTACAATAAGCAATCAAATCATACTAGGAAACGGTCAATATAAATCATAAGGATACAAGCGACAAAGTTACTCTAAACTGGTCGCACAGAGATCCCACAGTTTGTGGATTTGCGCACCACAGCAACCATGGGTTGTAATTACCCTGGTTCCCTGCTTTTTATAAAAATTGGTTCCGTTAATGGATGCGGAACCCTTCTTTCCAGCAAGGCAATGAATGCCGTCTTAAGAGTCCAATAAAATCCGGGTCCAATGACGCTGCCCATCACACTGGGCTTCGACCTTCTTGTCTTTCAGCACCTCATCTCTTCTTACCTGGCTGAGGTCTGTGGGGGCTGCGATTTGCAGCTCCATGCTTGCCTCTTCAGCGTGCAGGCTTATTCGCTGGAAGACGAGCTGCCGCCACGCTACGCCAGCCTGGAAGAAACTGCCACCGCTTACAAAGACATGGTGCAGGCCGCCAACGGACGCTTTCATTGGTTTGGGGAAACAGGTGTGGTAGAATTTCAGGGCTTTTCATGCTCTCCCAAGTGGTCTCTGGACCTCTTAAGCAGGTGGGAGACCTGTTTAATCTTGGCTGGAGTGGGCCTTTGCTACTTCAAGGATTGATCTTTTTATCCTGGATTGCATTTCTGAGGAGCCTTGAGTGGAGACTATTACAGATGGCCTTCCACCTCGCCGCCCCTTTTCTATTCTGTATGAGTAAATCAGGTCTAGGTCCATGGTGAAACAGATGTAGCATCTCATTCAGTATTATGGGGTGCTTGGTGCTTGGAGGAGGGGAGGGGAGGAGAAGGAGGGGAGAGAGGAAGAGGAAGAGAAAGGAGGAGAAAGGAGGAGGAGGAGGAGGCAGAAGAGAGGAAGAAGAGAAAAGAGGAGGGGAGAGAGGAAGAGAAAGGAGGAGGCGGAAGAGAGGAGAGGAGAGAGGAAGAGGAGGAGGAAG